ATATACATTGTGATGGTTGCTACCACAAAGTGAAGAAACTCCTTCAGAGAATTGAAGGTGTTTTTCCTATAATTATTTCTTTTCTTTAAGATAAAAATCCAATCTTTAGGCTATTGCATTTTTTTCTATATACTTTTATTACATCATATTGGAAAAAAAAATTCAATCTTGATAGTTTGTGTATATTTACAAAATAGGGGTTTACGTTTTTCCTATAATTAATTTGTTTCTTTAAAATAAAAAATCTAATCTTTAGGCTATTGCAATGTTTTTTATACTTTTATTACACCATATTGGAAAAAAATTCAATCTTGATAGTTTGTGTATTTACAAAAGAGGGGTTTACGTGTTTCCTATAATTAATTTTTTTTTAAAATAAAAATCCAATCTTTATGCTATTGCATTTTTTCCTGTACACTTTTATTTCATCATATTGAAAAAAAAATTCAATCTTGATAGTTTGTGTATATTTAAAAAATAGGGGTTAACGTTTTTCCTATAATTAATTTCTTTCTTTAAAATAAAAATCTAATCTTTAGGCTATTTCATTTTTTTCCTTACTTTTATTACAAAATAGGGGTTTACGTTTTTCCTATAATGCATTTTTTAGGCTATTGCATTTATATATAGTATATACTTTTATTACATCATATTGGCATAAAAATTCAATCTTGATGTAGTTTGTGTATATTTACAAAATAGGGGTTTACCAAGTGAAAATAGATTCGGACCAACAAAGGGTGAGTGTTCAAGGAAGTGTTGATTCTGAAACCCTAATCAAGAAACTGATTAGGGCTGGTAAGCATGCTGAGCCTTGGTCTCATAAGCTTACCCAAACCCTAAACCAAAACCAAAACCAAAACCAAACCCAGAAACAAAAACCCACTTGTATTAAAGATAATACCAAGAACAAGAAACCCCAACAAAACCCCACAAAGAACATCGAATCATCCTTAAGAAACAAGCACAAGTTTCCGTTCAATTTCGACGAAGACAACGACTCGGTCGACGGCAACGATGATGATTACGGGGAGGAGGAGATGCATTTGATCAGGCACAAGATCAACCAGCTTGCTCTTATGAAACAACAAGCTGAAGCAATTAATAATGCCAAGAAAGGTGGTAATAACAACGGTGCATCCGTGGCCGCTGCCGATCGTCCGAATAATAACGGCAAGACGAAAAGCAATGGCAATAATAATAATGGTGGTGGTGGTGCTGGTCCGAATGGGAGAAAGGGGAACCAAATGCAGAATATGACAAAGGGGAATATTCCGGGTTCCGGGATCGATCAAAAGACGCTGGCTGCCCTTAATAAGATGAAGAACGACGAGGGTAAACGGGGGAGCGACATTAGTACTATGATGAATCTTGCGGGTTTCCATGGAAATAATAATCATCATAGTGGAATTGGAGGAACTGCGGGATTCCAACAGAACAACGGGGCATTCCAAGGGGGGTTTCCGGTGGTTCACGGGGGCCATATGAATAATCCGGCGGCGATGATGATGAACATGGATGGTTATTACAATAATAACCCTGCATCTGTGATGATGAATATGAATATGCAGAACAGGCAGCAGCAGCAGCCTCAGATGATGTACAATAGGTCTCCGTTTGTTCCGGCCACCACCACCGGTTTTTACTACAACAACTACTACGGTACAGTTCCGTACAATTTGAGTGGCGGTGAGGGTTCTGCTGCAGCAGCTCATATGTTCAGTGATGAGAACACAAGTAGCTGCTCTGTTATGTAATGGGAAGAACAAGTTTGGAAGGTGTTTGTTAAATAGTTTTTGATTAATTAGTGTTCTTTTTTTCGTTTCTTTTGTTGAATTTTAATATGTTTTTTTTGTGAAGGTGTTGTATGATCTATCTGTTTGTGAAGAAGTTGAATGTTCCCTCTTTATTAACTACTGATCTGTATTTTGGTTATGGGATTTTGTCATGTTTCATGCATTTTTGCTCTGAATATGTATATTGTGTAGGGTTAAATACAAATTGCACCACTGTCGCAGATACCCCATTGTACTGTAAATTGCGACAAAATGGCCATGCCGTCAAAGTATGTTAGAGAATCCGTTAATTTTCAAAGTTGACCGACTATTGCATTAGATGATGGATAATTTCAGACGAAAATACCCTTATAATTGTGCATAAAAAGTAGTGTTCTAAAAATCGGTCGAGGCGGCCAATTAATCGGTCTTTGGGCGGAGGCGGTCTGAAACCTTTACGATTTTAGTGTAAATGTTTGAAAAATCGGCTTTTGCTTGTGAGGTGGTTTTAGGCAGTGTGAGGCGCGGTCAAACCTTGGAGATGGATCAAACTTTCGTGGAAAAAATCGATCAAAAATTGATTTTTTTTTAATAAAAAAAAGTTGGTGCTTTTAATTAGATGAGTTTATGCTTTGTGTTATTTTGTTAATGTTAAGTTTTATTTTTAAAGGACCTAATGATATATGCTTAAGTTTTATTTTTAAAGGACCTAATGATATATGCTTGCAATGTTCAAATATAATTTTGGATGCACAAGATTTTCGTTTCATTTTTTGGATGCACAAGATTTTCGTTTCATTTTTATATTGTAAGGATTTTTATTATATCATGATCTTATTATTATTAAAATTTTGTTATTTGATTATGATATATAAATGATGGGGATAAAATCATGTTTAATATATTTTTATATATATTTTGAGTATTGACAAATAATATCTAAAATTATATTACATTAAAATTAAAAAAACCGATTTATTTCGATTTTTCGCCGATTAATCACCGTTGCACCGATTAATCGTGGGGCGGTGCCTAACCGACTTGGGTCCGATTCGCGCCTTTTACAACATTGATAAAAAATGTGCCTTTTTCTTTTTCTCATGTACTCAATTTACTCTAAAAAAATTCATGTTTCTTCCCTAATTTTATTTTCCACAACCTAAAATTTCACCCAATCTTCTGAAAAAATATTATATTCTGAAAATTATATATAATTTCCTTTTAAATTTATGAATTTTTGCAATGATGTTTCCGACCTAAAAATATCACCCAAAATTTATGAGTTTTTTTTAGGATAATATTTTTAAATTCTTTTTAGATTTCTGAAAAGAAAACAAATTGAACTTTCAACCTAAAAATTCTCGATTTAAAATGCTTCCCCGTAATTCTAGTTCTCAAAAGTCATGTATTTGAATTTTTACGTCCAAACACTACAAGGCATATTTTTCTAGAACTACTTGTTGATGCCACCATATTATGACGTAATAAAGAAAAAAATGGCCAAGTAATAAAATAAAAAAATGCCTATTTATATAATATACATGTGAGGATAAATAAGAAACTACGCTACATAAATAATGGCGCTAGAGGTTTACGGTTGACCATTAAGTTGAGGG